AGAGAGAGAGAGAGAGAGAGAGAGAGAGAGAGAGAGAGAGAGAGAGAGAGAGAGAGAGCGTCGAGTGGGAGAGAAATATTCTTGTTCCCTGAGCTTTTGCTTCCAACGTGCTCTATCGTCGTCGTTTAGAGACGATTGTAGTGCCATCTAATGTTATAAACGAATTCGTCGATTGGAGAAATTGGTAAAGTAGGTCTCCGCCTTAAACACTTGAGACTATGGCCCATATTCTGAATCCTCTTTTATCTATAAAAGTGCCTCTAAAAGAGGTTTAGGAGCCACCTGATTGGCTGAGAAGTTATATTTAAGGCACTTTTATCGATAAAAAAGGATTCAGAATATGAGCCTATATTTTTATATATTTATTACTTTTATATATGTATTAAGAGTATAAAATAAAATCAAAATAAGAATAATGAATAATGGAGTGCACAAAATCGTAATTACAAAAGAAACTCTAATAATAAAGCTGTACTTTTATGTCAAACGCGTAATTGGTGGGTTTATTCGTACGTATGAACCTATATTAATCCATATGAATAAACCTTAAAGTTTTACCACGGGTACGTTCAGATTCCCTACCCGGGTGCACTCTACTACTAGAAACACTATAGTATATGTTACATATACTATAGCACTTCTAGTATTAGAGTGCACCCGGGTAGGGAATCTGAACGTACCCCACGATGGAGGTATATCTAACGGCATGGCCGCTTTCTGAGAACAGCTGTCAAAAGTTTGGGTATCGAGTGTCTTGGCGCAGGGATAACAATTAGGATATTCGAATATTTTCATAAAAAGACGATCGACTATTTCGCGGAACATCGAGGAGAAGAATGTTGACAGCGGCTGCGAATACACTGTCGAATAACGGCGGCTCTTACAGCAATGAGAGACCGTCGAGCGCTGGTGACGCGGATCTCGCTACGGATCCTGCTTCCGGCGGATTTTTTCACTCTGATTATAAGAAGTAATTAATCGAACTTTGTCATCTGCGATGACATCAAAGACAACTCATAAAAAGTCACGAAATTATTATCAAAATTTGAAACAAATTTTGAACACACTGAACATTTTTCTCTTTGTCTCTTTCTCTACTATGAACATTGAGAGATAATGGGATTCTTGATTTTAATTTATATCATTTGTGAATATAGTTTAAAATTTATATAACACTGTTCTTTAGAGTGGATAATCTATTAAAAATATCTTATACATTTCAGACATGAGGACTTGAAAGAGATGTTAGACAGTAATAAAGATGGACTCAAGTTGGAAGCTATGAAACGTATAATTGGGGTAATTGAATATCTCCAATTTAATTGATGTTTAAAGAATAATGTCAGTGGTAACTCATTTCTTATTTCAGATGGTGGCCAAAGGAAGGGATGCATCAGAGCTGTTTCCAGCTGTTGTAAAAAATGTAGTGTCCAAAAACATCGAAGTGAAGAAGCTGGTATATGTTTATCTAGTTCGTTATGCAGAGGGTCAGCAAGATCTTGCTCTTCTTTCCATATCGACTTTTCAAAGAGCCCTGAAGGATCCTAATCAATTAATAAGAGCAAGTGCTCTCAGAGTACTGTCCAGCATACGAGTTCCTATGATAGTACCCATTGTAATGCTCGCTATTAAGGATTCAGCCAGCGATATGTCTCCATATGTCCGAAAAACTGCTGCTCACGCAATCCCCAAGTTATACTCGTTGGAACCTGAACAAAAGGAGGAGTTGATAAGCGTGCTGGAGAAACTGCTATCTGACAAAACCACCCTTGTAGTAGGTTCAGCTGTAATGGCCTTTGAAGAAGTTTGCCCAGAGAGGATAGATCTCATTCACAAGAATTACAGAAAGTTGTGTAATTTATTGGTGGACGTTGACGAGTGGGGTCAAGTGGTTATCGTTAACATGCTCACCCGATATGCCAGAACACAATTCGTCAATCCGAATACAGATGTAAGTCGTTTGCAAGAACCGTTCCCAGTAGAAATGATAAAAACACGCTCCTAATTAATAGAGGTAATGATTGAGAAGAAAGGGATGATTTTTCAGAATCTAGACGAGGACGAAAACCGGCCGTTCTACGACTCTGACTCCGATTCCTCCAACACCAAGAAACCAAAGTTCACGTTAGATCCCGATCATCGTTTACTATTGAGGAATACTAAACCTTTGCTGCAAAGTCGTAATGCGTCTGTGGTAATGGCGGTCTCTCAATTGTATCATCATGCAGCACCCAGAAGCGAAGTGATGACTGCTGCAAAAGCACTCATCAGATTGCTGAGAGGGCACAGGGAAGTGCAAAGCGTTGTGTTGCACTGTATCGCCAGCATTTCAATTACGAGAAAGGTAATGTAAGTATGGCGCTAAAACGCAATACAAATGCTACGATATTTGCCTGATATCGTAATGTAATTGATTTTACATTACGAATATCATATCTCTGATCCGCTTAAATTTTTCCATACGTTTAATAGGGGATGTTCGAGCCCTTTCTGAAATCGTTCTTCGTACGTACTTCGGATCCAACTCATATAAAACTCCTAAAACTCGACATACTGACAAATCTAGCGACTGAGACTAGTATCAGCGTGATACTTCGGGAATTTCAGACGTATATCTCGAGCAGCGACAAGGAATTTGTAGGTGCCAGCATACAGGCTATCGGCAGATGCGCGAGTAACATTAAGGAAGTAACCGATACGTGCCTCAATGGATTGGTTTCATTATTAAGCAATAGAGATGGTAAGTTTCTGTTAACTTGTAGATTGTTATTATAAACTTATAGACCCATATTTATCACATATATCTACTGAATAATACGCTCTTGTATTCCTATATAGAAGCAATTGTGGCAGAGAGTGTCGTGGTGATAAAGAAACTTTTGCAAACACAGCCGAATGAGCACAAGGACATAATCGCGCACATGGCAAAATTAATGGATTTCATCACTGTGCCGCAGGCTAGAGCTTCCATTCTGTGGCTCTTGGGCGAGTACTCCGACAGAGTTCCCAAAATAGCGCCGGACGTGTTGCGAAAAATGGCGAAAAGTTTCGTGAACGAACAGGACATAGTGAAACTGCAGACCTTGAATCTGGCAGTGAAACTGTGCCTGAATAATCCCACACAGACAAAGCCATTTTGCCAGTATGTCTTCCAACTCGCCAAGTACGATCAGAACTACGATATCAGGGATCGCGCGCGTTTCTTGCGACATTTTATCTTCGACGACGAGACCAGTACGAAGAAGCTGCCGCAGTTCGCGAAGAGGATCTTTCTTACTCCGAAACCGGCGCCGACTTTAACGTCCAGGTTTAAAGACTCGGAGTACCAATTGGGCACTCTGTCCCATTACCTGGACATGCCGTGCGCGGGCTATCGGCCACTACCGCCTTTCCCAGAGGTCACGCAAGATCCGTCCGTACGGGACGTCGCGCCAACGATCGTGCAAGAACACAGCAGAGAAGAGAAATACGGTAGAAAGGAAAAGAAGGAAAAGAAGAGCAAAGAGAAGGAAAAACCATTCTACAGTGATGAAGAAAGCACGCCCGCTGAAGGTAAATATCTTATAATGATTAGCATTATCAAAACCGTGTCCTTAAATTTTTCAATTCCGTGTTTCTATTTTAGAGTCGGAGAATCAATCGTCCGATTCCTCGTCTAGCGAGTCGTCGGACGAGGACAGCGATTCTTCGGAGTACTCGAGCGAATCGGACAAGTCTGAGATGGGCAGCGGGAAAAAAAACGAAACGAAATCCGACGACTCTGAAAGTGAATCGTCAAGTAGCGAGGAATCGAATTCTGAAGAGGAAAGCGATACTCAAGAGAGCGAAGAGGAGAAGCCAAAGGTCATTAAAAATGAGGAAATAAGGGAGAAGCCGAAAAGCAACTTTGACTTGCTATTGGACTTGGATGATGGTTAGTTTAGCAGTTAGTTGAAGGAAAAGAAAAAAAAGTTCTCTTTAAAGCATATGTCTTTCTCAATATCCAGTCGTTCCAATGACTCCTGTGATGACGCCTAGCTTGGGTGGCTTCCTCACTCCGATTAATCCAACAGTCACGGACAACGTACGCGAGGTGTCGACGTCCTACGTTCCATTGAAGAAGACCACTCTGTTAAACAGTATCACTGGCCACGGTTTGAAGATCGAGTATAGATTCACGAGATCGCAACATTTAGTTAGCTCGAGTCTGGTTAGCATCGAATTGACGTTTCTGAATGAAAATAATAACGTCATCAAAGAAATCCAAGTGGGAAACAAGGTATACAAACGATTCCATAAATTTCATTTGTAACACGTAATATTTCTGAAACAACGAAATAATATTCTGCGTTCTCCACTTTTCTAGAATCTGCAAAAGGGAATGTTTATTCACGATTTCACGCAAATACCATTGCTGGACGCAAACGCCACACTATCTTCTACATTAGGTGTCAACTTCAACGATTCCACTCAACCGGCGAACTTCAATATCGATTTCGTGATCAATGAAGAGAAATACTCATGTCCAGTCAGTATTAAAGCGCCGATCGGGGAGATAATAAGATCCGTGATGTTACCCGAGGGTATGTTTAACACGGAGAAAGGCAAATTGAAGGGCATGAACGAGCACATAGCGAAAATACCGTATTCCGGGAACAAGAACGCTCTTCCCCAAAAGATCTTTGAGGCTGCGAATGTCGCGAGGATAACCGACGAGGATGAGGTCATCCGGTAAGCACACGTATATCTAATCGTAAATCTCCGAAGTACATATACCATTAATGTAATGTAATCTGATTTTATCCAAACAAGTTGAGAAAAAGTTGTGTTCTCTCAAGAAGCTAAGTTACCGTGAATATTCGCAGATTCGTCGCTCATACTTTAGCATCGAAATCGTTGGTGCTAGTGACAATAAGATTCATCGAAGCCGAGCAGCAATTGGAGGTCTGCGTAAACTGTGAAAAAATGGTGATAGGATCGATCCTGTTGAACGAACTCAAAAGTCACTTGAAATGAAGCGTGCTACTTGTGGAATTAGTATTGTGTCGCTTACAACATGAGAAAAAGTTCGAATATTTCGCTCTTCATTACGCGAAGGTAAATCCGCAAACACGTCGCATTTAACATTTCTACACTCATAATATAATCGGGGAGAAAAAATATATATCCCCCCTCCGTATGTATGCATACGGGCACATGTGTACGTATATAAATAAATTAACTATATACAATTAAAAATATATGTAAATATCCTGTTATTCAATCTTTCTCTTTTTCTGTCTCTCGTGATTGTAATACTAAACACTTTTCTGTCATAAAACTGCGTTCTTCACACGGCACCATATCAGTTGCTGCGACCCGACGATATCTACGCAGTCCGATACTTCCCAGAAACGCAAACGATACTCCCTCCGACTCGTCAAGAATCTCTTTAGGACTGCGCAGAGGATCCGCATGTATTATTATTATTATTACATGCAAGAGATAACCATTGAAACCGAATACCTACTTCTTAACATGCTGTTAGATATCGGCTTGGAGAAGCCGATGTCCTCGTTCGGGAAACGCGCGATCACATCGTGCAAGATCTCCGTGCCGAAACCTCGGTTCCTATATTCCGATCGCACATATACAGTGTCCACCACGGGTATCCCATACCTCTCTCTCATCGAGGGTACTTCCATACCTGAGGAAATTGGTATTATTGTCAAAATATTAAAAATATTTTAGTGTTTTAGATTCTCCCAGACTGCACACGAAACGTTTGCGATCACCTGCAAATTTGACAGTATAAAATCCAACCGCCCTGCCTCCTTGCCACCTGAGCGACACAACATCCAGCTTGTCCGCTAGAGCGTATAGCGACTCGAATCTGTCCGGTTGAGGCGCGTCCACATTCGGGTAAACGATCTGACTGAGTACATAGTAGAGCACCTTATCGCGATCCGTCTTGACTTCTCGCCATCCATTCTCTGCTTGATCGTCATAGGTATCGTTAACGTCGATTGCTTCATCGTTCAATGTTACGTTTATGAAGTGACCACCGTCGATGCAATCTATGCGGCGTACATCGCCTTGTATGTCCAAAGGTTGCAGGTCAACCCGGGTCACCGTAATCCGGACGTGTTGTGCGCACCTATGCAAATTAATCGTGACAATGAATGCGCGCCGCACTGAAGCCTAAGGTAGGAAAAATGTGGAGAAGCGCGAGTAACGGTTTGTGATTTGTGTTTTGCAGACGTATATCAGAGGTAAAACAGACACGGCGCAGTGCAAGATGTTACATAATCGCACGACCTCGACTCGTTTCGGCGATTAATAGCGCGCTACTAGAAAAAAACAGGAAACACACAACCCCGGCGAATTCGTGCTGTAGGAAGCGAGCTGAATCATCACCTTGAGCATAGCATCATGTACAGTGGTAAACGAGACGATAATACGGACAACCGTGTCACGATAAGCGAGAAATATTCTAGATATCGTTCGGCCAAAAAAAACGAAACTTGTTGACTGATAAGTGATGTGCTACATTTTATCGGTGACGTCTGACGCATCGTGGTCGTGATAAACTTCAACTTCCGTGAATCTCTAGATTACGCAAGGACCTAAAGGAACTTGGGGATTCTATTTAACCGTCTGTTAAACGCGTTTTCTTGTAAACAAAAATACATTTGGTGTAATTTCTCATATCTGTTGCTTTAAACGCGTTTCTTTCAAAAGATGAGCATTGATAATCGCAGCGCTCCCAATTTTGGTTCTGTTCGCGCGAGAGGTACGATTTTGAAAAGACTGCGATTAGTTGAAAATCTCAAAGCTCTCTTAGATTTCGGTGTGATCACTTTTGTATAACATATTAGGTGTACAACTTTGCTTCCGCCGTTTTCCTATAGATTGCTTTAGCGGTAAGTGATGGTCGAAATAAATAGATCATAGACGTCATACAATAAACTTGGGCATCTGTCAACATAACCCCATAGAAACATTAGTCGATTTATGTCTGCAACATAAAGTTATTCTTTATTGAAAATGTCAATTTACGAGCCAAATTTTCGTCATTTGCGGGAGGTTTTAATTTTCTGCTTCAATATGAAGAAATCTGCGGCTGAGGCTCATCGAATGCTCTCAAATACTTATGGTGAGGCCGCTATTAGTGAAAGAACGTGTCGTGAGTGGTTTCAACGCTTCAAGAACGGTGATTTTGACGTCGAAGACCAGCATAGCGGTGGAAGAGAGAAGGTTTTCGAAGATGCAGAATTGGAGGCATTACTTGATCAAGACTCGTGTCAAAATCAAGAAGAATTGGCACGATCATTGGGAATGACTCAACAAGCCATTTTAAAACGCCTCAAAGCTATGGGAATGATTCAGAAGCAAGGAAATTGGGTGCCGTACGAATTGAAGCCGAGAAATGTTGAACGGCGTTTGTTTGCTTGTGAACAGCTCTGCTTGAAAGGCAAAGACGGAAGGAATTTCTGCATCGCATTGTGACTGGGAACGAAAAATGGGTTCATTACGATAACCCCAAGCGCAGAAAATCATAGGGAGTTCCCGGCCATGCTTCCACGTCGGCGGTCAAACCGAATATTCACGGTTCCAAGGTCATGCTCTGTATTTGTGGGACCAGCTCAGTGTAGTGTATTATGAGCTGTTAAAACCGACTGAAACAATCACAGGCGATCGGTATCGAACGCAATTGATACGTTTGAGCCGAGCATTGAAAGACAAACGACCGCAATACAATGAGAGACACGATAAAGTGATTTTACAGCATGACAATGCTCGACCCCATGTTGCAAAAGTGGTCGAGACATACTTGGAAACGTTGAAATGGGAAGTCCTACCCTACCCGCCGTATTCTTCAGACGTTGCTCCCTCTGACTATCATTTGTTTCGATCAATGGCACACGGCCTGGCTGACCAGCACTTCCGGTCTTATGAAGAAGTAAAAAATTGAATCGATTCGTGGTTCGCCTCAAAAGATGACCAGTTTTTTCGACGCGGGATTCGTACGCTGCCCGAAAGATGGGAGAAAGTAGTGGCCAGCGATGGACAATACTTTGAATCATAAATGTATAACCAGTTTTTTACAATAAAGCCTCGAATTTCGGAAAAAAATGGCGGAAGCAAAGTTGTACACTTAATATTTGAAAGCTTAGAGTGATTCGAGTGTTCAACGGTGAACACAGAATGATATCAAATTGCAAACAAATGGTGTTAAGTGGTACCATACCATTCCTCGATAAGGCGTACCATTTCTAATTACCCACGACGTCTGCACCCGGTGCGGATGCTGATAAGCAGCAGTTGAGTGCATGATTGTGCGTAATCGTACACGTAAGTTTCCGCGCGGAATGCAACGATTCTTGTATCTTTCGTCGCGTTAGGAAAGTTCGCACTTTTGTAATTTTCATTGCACCGCGAGGAACAGTGAACTCTGCTTACCACGTGCTTCTCGTCGAGGGAAAAAGAGAGATTAACGGCTATTATTAAGTTCTTGTGACGTGACTACTCGTGATTAAAATGTTCTAATTACCTGGGAAGGCTTCCTCTTTTTTGTTAAAATTGTTAACGAGTGTTCGAGCTTTCGTCCATATGCCAATATTTTGATACGTGTAACAGCTTCAAATGTATGACAAGTTATTGACAACTTTATGCTTTTAATATTTCGGGAGATTGCCCCTGTACTCAGTTTTCAAAATTGTCACTTTTCGGAACGTTGTTTTACTTTTAGAATTTTGGTTCTTTTTATGCATATGTCCATCCCTTGCCTACCTCGTGCGCGCGCGCGCGCGTGCTTTGCGTTTCCTACTTAATTAGATATCCATTAGATCTTAATTAGAGTCCCATTATAACAAGATAATATATTCTTTATCGTATAGAATTATCACGATAATAATTTCCCAGAAACTCGTGTTTCATATGTTGATGTCGATGCGCGCGTCAGATAATGAGTCAGTGCCGTGACAGCGACGGGTTCCCTCAGTGGCGCGATCTTCAAGTTGACGCATGTGTGTTGATGAGCGCGCGCTCTGTTCAATTGCTGAGAGTGCAGGAAGGTGCACGGGTAGTGCAATGGAAACAGCTGTGTCCCGTTATTCGTCATCGTATGATACATATTATCGCGACCCCCGTGTCCGGTGAAGCGTCGCGTCGTTGCACTTTGACATGTCACACGCGCATCAGTGCGAATGTCAAACGCATATCGTGTGCCCGCACACGCGTATATACGCCCCCGCACGCGTCACGTCGTCCAGTCGGCCGTCGTCAGGCCGGAGTCGCGTCTCGGCGCATTGAGAGAGAGAGAGAGAGAGCGTCCGATGGGGCCGCTCACTTGCTGAGGACGTAGTGATAGTCCGTCAGAGAATCGACTCGTAACTTTGGACTGTCACGCGTCGGGTGTGTGTACGTGTGTGCTGCTGGAATAATTTAGTGTGACGCGCATCACGTCGCTGCCACGCGCTCTCCAATGTCCTCGTCGCGGTCCGGCGAACACGATTATCAGCGGTTCGACAATGACACGAGCCAGCCGCTCGAACAGGAGATCTCAAACGGCTCGAACCGACGTGAGTCGTCTTGCCTTTGTAGTCATCATTATCCTGCATTCACCTACTAACGCTCATCTTGATTCGCCTGGAGCGTCTGATAACGTGAGATTACGAAACACGGCCTTTCGCGATTGAAGCGACGCATTCTTTAATGAGAGAAATATAATTGCAACAGACGCGCTTTTCTTAGACGGATGTAGTGCAAGTATCGGCAGGATGTTTCGTTTTTAAGTGATGAGCCTTGATAGTCCGCGGCTAGTTGTCACTCATGGCGTCTTGTTGACGAGTTGTGCGCGTTTCGCGGGATAGTTGTTCGGTCGCTAAACCTTCGGGAAAAAATTAAGAATTGTATTTGGAGCATTTAGTAAGATTGTTGATTTTGTAGAAATATTGATTTATGTATTTCCAATGTATTCTGAAATGTATGACTTCCTATAAAAGTATGTCAACCCACTGATATTTGAGAGGACAAAGTTGCGTGTTTTTTTGCAGAATACGGTTCTATGTTGTCCTCACCTTCCACAGAGAGCCATGTCAGGTCGTCGTTTGACACTGCTAACAATACCAATGAGCTGAATAGTAAATATGAAGCCACAGATACAGGAACGGGAAGTATGACTGAGAATATAATGTTTACTGCACGTGACACATCTCCGGATGTGGACATGCACTGGGAAATGAATTACCATGAAGCTGCAATATTCTTAGAGGTAATTTACATATTGATCAGACATATCAGCAATTGATAACACTTGGTTATTATAGTGTGCATATGTATAAAAGATTGCGCTTAATTCATTGCATTAATTATTTTCTCAAGGATGGTTATTACATTTTTTACTGCTATATACACAATATATCTTATGTAATGTACAGAGAAGCTTAATGTTTTTTTATATATTATACAAGAAAGCATCAAACTGTTGAACAGTATCATGTTATGTGAGAGCTTATGATGAGTGTATAATAAAAACACATTGAATTGTAATACTCTCTAATTGTAATACTAATTCTAATAGAGCACTTGCAAATCCTTTTAGGAAGGCAGGAACAATGAGAAATTCGATTCTCATCCAAGACATCCTGAGGATTTGCCAGCGTATCTCTTAGTTCACAACAGGTGGTACAATGGATTGGATTTACTGGTTTCATTGATCCTCCTATCTCTGGCATTCGTCGAGGCGCCTGCTTTACCATTATTCAGAGTACGCGCCGTTTATTTGTAATGTAAAATGTTGTACATTATACAATTTTGTTTATTACGACGTCGTCGTTTACACATGTTGTTTCTTAGGTGCCGGTGTGGATGCACGGTTCGATAGAATTGCTCGCCTTAATTACTATCGGTGTGCAACTGGCTTTAAAACTGAGATGGACTGGCTGGACCACATTGTTAAAGCACAAACGTACGACGCTCAAGGTAAGAAAAATCTTAAGCGCTACTACGCTGTTAAGAAAGTGGAACACAATGAGCTCGGCTAGAGATATTCATTATTGAACGAAAACAGAATATGCATAATCAGATCCGAATTGTTGCTCGTACCAACAGTTGTCACCGATAATTATTCACGCTTATTACACAACGATACAAGAGTATCAGACAGTAATCACGCATTCATTACCGATCAACGACCGCATCATCGAAATGAGTAATTGGTACTGCAATGAATATGCAATGACTTATTAGCTTACTTATATAATGAACTATTGAGTTACGAATACAATGTCAGACGCATTGCAACGTGAAAACTCGTACATTCACTTCGAACGAATGGGAAATAATATCCGACACGCGAAAAAGGAAAAATCGACATGAACTCGACACTGATCGGATTTCATTGATTTTCCTAACATGTGGAATGAATACGTTCCATATAGCCATAGTATCTCTGTTTCAGTGTGTCACATTAGCTATCATGTTTCTTGAAGCCATGACTGTCTTGGTGCGGCAATCCTCGCACTTCCGCGTGACGCGCGCGCTAAGACCCATTTTTCTGATAGACACTAAATACTGCGGAGGTGTGAGGAGATTCGTGAGGCAGATACTTCTCACGCTACCGCCCATTTTGGACATGCTAGGGCTCCTATTCTTCTTGATCACCGTGTACACAGTATTGGGCTATTACATGTTCAGTGAAATGAACAGGAATTTTTTTACGTTACAAGATAGTTTCGTGAGTCTGTTTGTTCTTCTCACCACCGCCAAGTGAGTATAGTCCTGATAGGTGAAGACAATTTTGATCGACAATATGTTTTCCACTGACGTCTCTCTTAACTCTGTAGCTTCCCAGATGTGATGATGCCGTCGTATTCACGGAACAAGTGGTATGCGATATACTTCGTGTCTTACTTATGCACCATGCTGTACGTGATGATGAACTTGATGTTGGCCGTGGTGAACGAGACGTTCACGTTTCGCGAACGCGATAAGTTCAAGAAGTTGTTCTTACATAAGAGGAAAGCATGCCAGCACGCTTTCAAGCTTCTGGTCTCCCGACAAAATCCCGACAAGATGCGATTTCGTCAGTTCGAAGGTCTGATGCGGTACTATGCGCCGAACAAATGTGTGTATACAGGATTATCGCTATCCCTTTTCGGGTAGAATACAATAGCTCGCGCCTCGCCGAACGCGCGTTATAACAATACCCGTGCGGTACACTTAGAAAGTGAAAGCAGATTCGACATTACGCGAACGGTACACGTTATGTAATTGTATTTACAATGGTATAACAATCGAATATCTGCAACGACTGTGTATGCATTTTATAGCCACGAGAGACATTGTATTAATGTTTTGTCACATGAACGTGTCGGGCAGTGGCGCCTTGAATTGTGAGGAATTCCTGTCGATTTATGACACCACGACACTGCACTGGGAACTGCAATACTCCAACATACCGTGGTACCGCACCACGTGGTGGCCTCTGCAAGTATTATGCACAGGCGCTCATACCGTTATCAAGTGGCCGTACTTCGAAACGCTAGTATGTGAGTATATACGTGACGCACGTGGATTTATTGTACGCCCGACGCACACTCTGTATCTCATCGCTCGTGATCTCTCTCGCAGATGTGATCATTATCGCCAACTGCATCGCTATGATAGCGAGAATAATAGAGCCGAGCGATAGTCTCGTGGAGTCGGCTCACGGATTCGCCGCTTGTTGGGATACTTTGGTATTCGGGGGAAGTGAGTAAACATGCCGAAAAGAGTTATCTTCCACAATATCTTCCAAATTATTAAGCATACCAATGTATACATTTACAGTATTCATCGCTGAAGCAATGTCTAAGATATTGGCTCTTGGTGTGAAGCATTACTTGAGCTCCGGATGGAATCTCTTCGATTTGGGAACATCGGTGATGATGCTCGTTGCCGCGTGCGCTCTCAGTTTATTCCCGTCAGCCACGTTCCTGGTTTTGTTCCGACCTCTCAGAACGTTGAGGCTGTTCAAGATAAAGAAACGCTACCGAGATGTCTTCGGCACCCTCGTCATTCTATCTCCTCAGATGTGCTCGACGGCGATCGTCATGTTGGTGCTGTATTATTTCTTCGCGATCATCGGTATGGAAATGTTCGCGGGATACGATATGCGTAATTGCTGCAAGTAAGTTTCAAGTTTCATGTACGCGCGATATTTCGAAAGTAGGCCGACATTTTTTCAATTAAATAAACGACCTAATAATGGAATTTTCGTCGATGCTTCAAGGTATTCTCTTTCTTTTTCTCGACAGAAATACGACCGTTGAAGACTTCTACGAGTATTCAGCTAACGGCAGCACGGCATTAGGGTATTATTATCTCAATACATTCGACAATCTCATAGCCAGCGGCATGACGCTCTTCGAATTGACGGTCGTTAACAATTGGTTCATACTGATGAACGCGTACGCGTTTACCACGGGGATGTATACACGAATATACTTCATGATATTTTACTTGGTAACTATGATCGTGCTAACCATCGTGGTGTCCAGTTTCTTGGAAGCTTTCCGATTTAGGATACAATATAAGCAGTCGACTTCAAAGCATGATGGTAAGCACGTGACCTGGCTAGTGTTTGTGACTTGTCGCGACACGTGTGTGTGCACTCATTTGTAATTGTTTTCAGAGGAGAAAATGCTTCACGAGGAAGTGGAACTGAAATGGGAAGAGTTGCAGTGTATAATCGAGGATTTCCAGACTCTGGAAAATCTACGCAGTGCTTTGGTCGTCGGCGGAAGCACCATGTTCGTCGGTTCGCGGCCACGAACGCGAGAAGTATTGCAAAGGAAGATGTACACGCACGAAATAAACTGGTGGCTGACAGAGGCGGAACTAGAGGAGAGGCAACTCGTATCCGATGTGACACGCGGCAACGCGGAGGACGGCGGCGGCGGCGACGTTACCACCGACACCGATCGTCTAATGTTGAACGGCAATTTACGACATCAAGCAAGTAATAGTATATCTACTCGGTAAAAATAACGATACGTAACTCAGATCGTAATCTTATAATTTCCGCTTATAACATTATAACAAAATATGAATGCATTCGTGAAAATGCATTAAACAGTTTATTTAGACTTATTAATGACTTCAGTATATACATTATTATAGTTGAAGTTATTACAATAATGTATATATGAATTGAGAATTGACAGAACAAAAAACTGATGCACCATAGGTTAGGTGGCAGATCTCTTTCTCTTTTAGCGATAATACTGTAGAATATTTTTAAATAATTTACAGTGAACAATAGTGAACAACAATAGTGAATTGTCTTCGAGTTTTAACTGAGAGTTAATAGTAAAATTCCTTTACATATTTTATATCATAGCTAGCTAGTTCGCAATTATAGTAAAAAAATTTCATTTTTTACTTAGGAATATTAATCTCGCCGGCACGATATTACGCGTCGATTTCCAAATGTAATTGCAGCAGATATTACTATACATTAACATCACGTTAGCCTAACGCGGTGTACGCACATAGTTGGACACTGGTTACCACGATGGCTAATCGTAACAACGCGATGCTCGTGCGTCGCATCATCGTTTTTATATGATTTTTGGCGACAAATTCACGCAACTTTGTTTTGTAGATCGTGTATTTAAGAGCGGCTTCACTTTAGATATTCGACCAAAGCATATCAATAGGATCGGTTCAACGGAAGCATGCGTCCCCAAACGGCGTTTGAGATATCGCTTTCATTCAATTAGCCCGACTTACAAACAAGAAACCAGTCTTTTCGGTTTACCAGAGATTCGAAAGACGCGACGGGAAGTGGAACGACGAATTCTTATTTTCCTTCGAGCCGACTCCGCATATCACGCGCATTTCTATGCAGTCATGTGTGAAGTAGTAAAAGATAACGTTGTTGCGTATTTCACTAGCGAGAGATTATTTTATCGTCATCTTTCCATTTGCAATGTGATACTCTGTATTTATTTAACAAAAACGTATTTTATATTTTATCGCCGTTAATTTATGGAATGTAATTATGTAGTCATATATAATATTGTATAATTTATAGAATATATCGTTGTATAGTACCATCGGCTTTTTCCGTTTCTCCAATGTGTAAAGCGGATGATCTTAAGAATTGCATCACTTGTCAATCTTTACCCCGCTGCAGCCTATCTGAGCCTGCGTGACTTTGAAGCCATCCGCTATCAATTTTTGTGAGATATTCAAGATAGTTTCGTCTACGATGTCCGGCGGAATCAAGATATACGCGTGTCCACCCCCGCCAGCGCCTGTCAACTTCGCTGCCAGTCCGTATTTCCGTGCCTCGTCGCAGATCTTGTCCAGTGACGGGTGCGACACTCCCAGCATGGCGAGTATGTTTTGATTCATGTTGATGAGCAGCTGCAAGAGAGATATACGTCAAGAAATGTACATGATTTGAATCACGAAGAGAAATGGTAGTATAGAGGCGACGTACGTCTATATCTCGAAAAAAAAAAACGGTCGAATTTTGTACAATTTTCATTGAAAGTTTTATGTAAGAAAACTTGGGATTCGTCGGATTCTGAAAGAATAAGATTTAATCCATGATATACTAGAAACGTAAACAGTAAAAAAGTTGATCAACCACAGTCGATTACCCTTGGACCGTCAGGAAAATAATCGATTGTAGTTGATTAATTTGTTTACTACTTACGTTTTCATGTGGCTCTTATGTCTGTGCTCCGAAGATGTCCGACTCCTTGCGAGATTAACCTTTTGGGGACCATTTTATGTATGATGGTTGGGACACATGTGTCCGAGTGGTCCCCAAAGAGTTAACAAACACAAGTTCGCAAACTTGTGCATTTCTTTAGGCGAAAACCGAAGAAATGTGCACTGCCGGTTTTTTTTCCAAGATATAGATACGAGATTATACATCGCTATCGAAGCTTACCATTAATTCCTTATATTCTTCCAGGCGAGCAGATGTATTATGATCGCTGGGCAAATTGGAAAGCGCGCTGATCGCTAGAAAAGCCGCGCACGATATGCCTTCGATGGAGAACATGAGAGGATTGATGATCGTGGGATACTTGGACTTTAGCTCCGCTATCATCTGCACCAACGCCTTCGTGCTGCGTCCCACTTGCGTATCGACCAGCAGGATCTTCATGTTCGGCATTTTGGGCATTGTTTCCATCAAATGGCCTTTCTTGAATCTTACGACTGAACCGAACGTGCAGACGCTCGTATCGATGCCGGACGGATTGCCGTGCGTGATCCTCTCGCAGCGCAGAGCGTACTGCGAGATCTGCGTCAAGTCGAACGTGTCAAAATTCGCCCTGAAGACACCCTTTTGCAGCAGTGACCAATTATAGAAACACGCCGTGAGGCACACCGCGAACGACGCCGAGCTGCCGAGACCTGAACCGATCGACAACTGCGTGTCCAAGTGTACGCGGAAGGGTTTCAGGACGATTTGCTCCTCGTAAGAGACGAGGACGAGCGAATAAAAGAACACCTCCAGACTCAACGTCTGCTGAAATGTGGCGTGATTGATCGTCGTGGCGACGAACTGCCGTACCTTTTCGTACAGCAGATCGTGATCCCCGCTGCGGTAATCAAAACTAAAACTGAAGAAGAAATCCTTGATTTTCTGCAAAGGTATGCTCAGGCACAGATCGACTTTCGGCAGCGATATCTCCACCATCTTCTCAGACTCCGCAAGCTCGGCAAACTCCAGCACTACACGTTGGTCCAAGCTAGCTGCCACGGCAAGTTTTTCGTATACTACCGCGTGTTCGCCGAACAAGATTACCTTGCCCGGTGCCGACACTTTGAACATGTACATCTTCCTCACAGCTGATATGATTCCACTAAACGAATTCTCGCGACTTAGCGCAAGTCTATCAATTTAGCGATGCAGCGAAATAATCGACGTTACGCACGAGATATGCCAGATAATGCGCGACGAATCAGTCAAGTCTCTCAATCTCTCTACGTAACGTTCATTAGCACTCCTGGGACGTCTCTCGATATCTCTTTCCGCTGTTATGGTGCAGCTTGCGATAATCTCAATCGTCTTTGCCTGTTCTTTCTGGATCACACACACGAGGCTGAATTACATAATATTCGATTGTTTAGAAAACTATGATATATTTTCTCACTATTTTTAGTGAGAAAATATTGATACATGTACACGGAGAGAATATTAGTTTTATTTTTTTTTTAATATAAATCCTTTTTTAATTTTACTATATTTTTAATAATCCAGAAATGGACTATTAATAAGATCTGTCTTTCTGAGAAACATAGTAAATTTCGCTGCACAATAAGTGTTTTAATCATGGACGTAAGAATACATGGACGGAGCGAAAGGTGCGATTATAGACGAGGGGCTGTGAAGCCGAAGGGATAAGAGGATTATATCGTCGTGGTCATGTTGGCGTCGGAGTTTTGTATCTATTGTCTATGTACAAAAACAGTGACCATGGTATCTCAATTCTATTATAATACATACAATCATTCCCCTCACCCTTTGGACTTCGCCCCCGCGACAATTCGCTCCGTCTATGGTTTTAATAGTATAGTTCAGTTCCTAAACTATAAGTAGCATATATGAGATGAAGGGATAAGGAATTACTGTGGAATGTCGAACTATTCCTTGGTTACAACATCTTGTAAGTTTTATTATAACATTATCTCCGTGTACTCTTCAAATGTCTTGGAGCAAAGTAGTAGTATTTTCACTCGAGACATACATAATGAAACTATTGTTACTCAAAACTGAACGAGAGTGAATGTTTCACTGAAGATTAAAATGGATTCTGATTCCATATGAGTAAATGTTTCAATTGATTATGAATATGTCACTCTGACGATGGGATGCGTTAGGTTTACTCTCCAATTTCGAGTAAAATTATTTGCTCAATGATTCAGAGTGGAGAATTCACTCCAGAAGAGTGAGAAAAATGACTCGAATTCGAGTGACGTGGTTGTTATACTGCTTTTCGAAAGAAATTTAACTCCAAGAAATTTAGAAAGCACATTTGTAGACGTAACCTGAGAGAATATGTTACCTTCTATATTTATTTAGTGCTATCTTCTCCAAGTCGTCGTGTACCACATGTACAGAATACCTAGTGCCGCTATCGTCGGAATGATCTAGCGTTACCTGCAACGCAAACGATAATTGTACATACATGCGAGACGCACCGAAGAAACTGTCTAGGAAAACGCGACTTCTACGCGACTGAGAAATTTGCCGAGTGTTTGTAAGTATTGTACCATGTGTTACCTTGAATATAAATCAGACGAGCGAACGAGAGAGCGTGCGCGCGAGAGAGAGAAAAAAGGAGAGAGAGAGAGAGACGCTAAGTTTCGGGATAAAGTTCGAAGTCTGCGCGAATACATAATGTTTTTTGTTGTATTATATGCGGTATACGCATGTATACATAGTAACAGTAAAGTTGATTTTTTTACTATTGTTCCATCATATATATATAATATATTGTGCTATATTAGATTTGGTTTCCGGGTTTGAGCTGCGTGGATTCATCTTTATTTGATTCCGACATTTCGCAAACATTTCAGTCCGCTTCATCAGGGAGAAACGATCCGATGCCTCTCTGATGAAGCGGACTGAAATTTTCGCGAAACGTCGGAATCAAACAATGATAAATCCACGCGGCTCAAACCCGGAAACCAAATCTAATATGCATGGACAGTGCGAAAGCCTAAAAAAAAATCAAATATTGTGCTATTCATAACGCCACAAGAGAGTACCAGGTAACATGCATTGTTTCGTAATTCTTGCTTTATTTATAATGATTTTCAATTTTTATTTTTATTTATAATTTACACGATTTTTTCATATTTAATGGTTCGACGTTAATATGACTCAACTTTATTCATACTTCTTCACGCACTTCCCGCAGTTTCCCCTTGACGCGGAGAATTGGGCACGATTGAAATATATGAAGAAGAGGAGAAAATGACCGCACGAGTAAACCGATACCAAAAGTGGGAATAGATCGGGATACCTCTTGGGTGGTTTCACGTACCCGCTGGCGACAGAGAGTAGCAACGCACCCGAGAGGGACAGATAAAACGCGGCGCGAAGCCAAGATTTTTTATCGCAAGCCGCCGAGCACAAGAAAGACTCATTCTCTTTATTTCGCGCCACGAGTTTCCGCTTTGAATCTTCGCGTTTGTTTGGCCGGCCATTCGTTTCGTTATAATCGAACATGTCGGGCCACATCCAAGAAACAGCTACGAAATAAATAGTCATAGTAAGAGCGTAGACTAAGTATAGCCCGTCTTTGATGAACAATGGTAACATACTAAAGCTCGAGATAATCAAGAACCAAAAGCACGGCAGGGGGTCATTGTGAAAGTGCAGCGACACCGGCACCGCGGCAAGCAGGATCGACTTCTCGTGAACTTGGAATGAGAACAGGAAGAACGCTAGCGCGGAATTGATCAGGGCGAGTATAAACGTGTCCTTTCTGGGCGACCGGTACAAGTGCAGACAGCTCGGCGCGACGGCGCACGTCGTAGCCGCCAAGCAGATCTTGGCTAGCTGCGCGTTCGTAAAGGTCTCGCGTAACTTGTACACAACGTTGATCGCGCACCACACGTTTGCGACCTTGTCCTCGAATACACCCCGAGCGAACGGGAACAATCTGAGGAGCGCGCCGACAAAGGAATCCCTACTCCGAAGGAACGGCATCCAGATTACGTAGAATGTAGCCAGTACCGTAAGCGAGACGCCAACTAGTCCTACGAGTCTGTGACTATCCCGCGACTTGGCTCTGTAACTACCTAGTGTGTAAAAGAAAAACGGCAGAGCGTGGTACAGTTCCATTTGCTTGTAGTTCAACGCCGAGACAAACAAGATCGAGCCGAGCGCGAAAGAGTCGCGAGCTACGGCGGCCACTGCGGCAACAAAGAGACCCAGTGACACGCAGTTGTACTGAAAATGCCCGTGATCTATCGCGATCAATCCCGGATATATCAACGCGGTCGCGAGGATCAAGTACCTCGTCCGCGATCTGTCACGTACTTCTTCCTTCTTAACCTGGACATGATCGTAGCATAGATTCGTCACGAAATACGTGATTGCTGGTATATAGGTCAAGATGTCGGCGACCAAAACGGTGAGTCTCATGAAGTGTTTATGTGCCGTCGTCTCGATTCCCCTGGACTCGTGCAGTCTCACGAAGGAAGGATCGACGGCGTTCGCGATGTGACCTAACAGAAAACTGTGGTACGCGGTCAACGGCGGATAATCTAATCCCCAGTATTGCAGGTCATTATCGGTGGTATTGATGTACCACTGGCTTATGGGCAGATTCAACGTGATTTCTTGCCAGTGCCGCTGTGCCTCATAATCCCCGTACATTGGCGGCTTGGCCTCTCCGCTGTGAGGGTGGAAAGTAACGCAGCATCTCAACAGAATGGCGCAAAAGAGGATCAGGGCGATCTTGAGTTTTCCTTGCATGTTGCGTTCCCTATAGCACGGATCGGTCCTCGTTGGAGTATTTGTTTGTATTTTTTTTTCATTCTTTTATAGGTTATTTTTATGTACATTTATATATCGCTCCTCGAGGTCTATTCTCGAATCGAAACTAGTCGGCGATATTGTGCCAGGACGGTTTCGAGCGAAACTTTCAGGTTATCATACGGATGACGCTATACACGCGAGAACAAACGGCCGAGAAGACGGTAAAGGAGGTGCGTTTTACGTACCGCTTTCCAAGCTCTCAGTGTATCGGTCAATATGTCTTCGTTGTATCTCGCGGCATACGGCATGTTCATTCGTGATAACTGTTATGAGTTAGCGTACCAGCGGTTACACGCAGAAACCCGATGCCAACGGTTGATTAGAAACAAGTCTCCTTTTCACACATAGATAATCCATCGAGAAGTTCATTCGCGTTGCTTGCACTCTTGACACTTTTACACCTAAAGCGTGAAGCACATACTCTTGCATGAAGACATAATACACAACGCATAAGGAAATGAACCAATCAGAATCTTCATTTCTATTGCCACAATGAAAATGAAGGACTCTGATTGGTCAATTTTCTTATGCGTTTGCATTATGCCTTTATGAAAGAGTGCGTGCCCCCTGAGCCCATATTCTTGAAATTTTTGCGTATACGTAATTTTCATTGCGCAGCTATTTTATAATGTGATTAAACCTGCGCAGTAAAACTTACGTATACGCAACTATTTCAAGAATAAGGGCCCAAGTACCTATCATGAACTTCTTCGAAATCAATTCCGATCGGATAAGAACCTCCGCACAAGAACATCCGTAGAGCCAGCGGCACACGGTGCTTGTTTTCATATTGGATTGCTTGCTGGAAATATTCTGTTTTGATTGGTGTATTTCCATTCATCTTCAGAAATGCACCAATCAGAATGCAGTATTTCCATCCAATTATCTAGCACAAAACAAGCATCGTGGGTGCGTTCTTTTATTCGCAACAGATATAACCCGATGCATCCGATGCATAATTTAATCGTTCTGTATATCCAGTTGCGCACATCAAGTTGCAAATTGCGTAAATCTTGACCGTTCTTTAATTTAAGTTGCAAGCAGAATCGTGCAACTGCTTGCAACTTTTAGCATCCCAATCCAAGCGGCTGCCGAAAAATTGTAGCTTGAGTTCCGAATATATAAGAACCTTAAGTACGAATACGGTTCTTTGGTATGCAAAAAATAGTGCGTTTCTCAGACAGCACACAATACTTATGATAAATATTTATTTCGAATTATTTCTTAAAAATATTATAAATATAATAAAAATATTTTATATACATGAAGGAAAAAGTATCAAAATCATTATTGAAAATATTATTAAAATACAGACTAAATATTTCCCACACAGCAAAGGGAAATCTGTGGAATTTCCTAAAGATATCCTGCCGGGATATTGCAATATCCTAAAAATATCCCATAGAAGTCATGGATATATGAGAAATATTACTAGAATACACTAATGTCCGCAGTTACGAACACATATAGATATCGCATATTGTAGCGAAATATATTTGTATTGTTACGTCCACGATAGATAACTATATAGGGAAATTTGAAAGTAGTGAAATCAGTGACTTACGTGGACGGTCAACAGAGTGATGGCTCCGCTTTTGGGTCACTCTGCTTTTCACCGAGTTTACCCTGGGTCTCGGGAGCCTGGCGAAACGATTGATGAATCTGGCGAAAAATCAGCGGTGCTTGTTCTCCTGGCTCGGCCTCGGATGTTCCGATACCACGCGGATTGATGCGGCCCGCGATTCAGAATTTGATTTCGCAACGTTTGAAATATGAAGGGTAGGCAAAAGTAATTGCAACACAGTCGGATTTTACGACTAAGTATAATATGCTGAATAAGTACACGAAGCTACCAGAGACTAACTATGAGAAGAAAATAATTATATATATTGCCTTCTCTACAAATGCGCGCGCTTTTATATGTCGCTTTGTCGCTGAGAGTCGTTCTCCGATTGGTCCATGGAGTTATGGCGAGGGAAGAGATTCATTCCTTTGCATGATGTCACCGCGTCCGGTGTCCTGAGTGGTGTTTGGGATTCAGTTTTCATGCTCCTGTTTATGTTGGCTTATCGCACTGAGCGATAGCGGTTTCTTTGAGTCGATCCGTCGATTTCGAGACTCTCCAGCAGCACGCAGCATTCGGCATTTTAATTATAATGTTTTAACGCTCGCGAATATGCATATGCGCACGTACTTACATCTAGTAACATAGGGATAAAATATCTAGTGATGTCTGAAATCAGACGAGTCGGCCTCCCGGTCTATAATAATATATTATTAATGTTCTAAAATAGATCCGGACGTTACAGTATGATATCCCTGAAATCTCTGATTATTGCCGTGTATAGGAAAACCCAGGAAGATATATCGCACGTATATTTTACAAATATATTAGTGATGGTTATGGTAGATAGTCTGGATATATCTGGAAGAATGTTTTTGATAATAATAATGACTAAATTTATACTGTTTACTTAATATGTATATCAATAAATATATAATTAGTACAAAATGTGCTTAGTAAGTCAATTTTATGCCGATATACTAATTTATATACATATTAAACAATTATCAATATAATGTAGACATTAGTATTACAGTTGAAATTATACAAAATAGATTTACACTAAATATAATAAATATATCTTTGGTGGAAAGATTTCTCAGAATCTCAGAAAATTCTCACAATTTTTTCATATTTTTTATATGAATTGGAATATCTCTCAGTTTATTGTATAACACACAGGTTGTATAAAACCTATATTGTTCAATCAGGAATTACAACTAACAGATATTTACTAATAGATTGTTATGACTATTCTGTTTATATATATATATATATATATATATATATATATATATATATAATAATTACAAGTTATCACCTATAATAGAAATGTTACATGAACTAACGCAAATGTTATTAATCATAAATTTAATGTTAATTTATTCACGTGAGATGTTATGATATCTTCGTGCAATGCAAGCTACAGTTGTGTTGGAGTTATTTCTTTATTAGTCGCAAGTAATGTCATATTTTTAGCTTTTCTGAAAGAGAACAAATTTTGCTCTCGGTAATTATTCAGTTTAGGTCTCTCACTTTTCGATGAAAGTAGATTCAATCGACGCGTTTTTGCACGAGAAGCGACTTTTTCATTTGACAAACTCGTCGCTTTCTACTGCGAAACAAAATATTAGCCGACAAAGTTGACCACTATTAAGGTTAGGAAACTGTTACTTTCTTTCTCTTTCTCGCTTTCTCTCTCTCTCTCTCTCTCTCTCTCTCTCTCTCTCTGTTCATTTTACTTGGATTCAGACCTTTTTTGCGGCCCTTTCATCGAAGTATCAAAAGGTACGTTTCTCAAAAGAATCACAGGTCTGAACGTGTTCGAACACGTCTTAATGTAACGGCGATTAAACCTGATGGAAAACTCACACCGATGACAAACAGCGAGATGTATATGCTCCATAGTTACTTGTGCATTTCCTATAGTTTTCGAAATATTAATAAAATGATTTTCGAAATATTAATAAAAAGATGCCTGTCTCTAGCCATGTACATGCTTTATATCTTATACTTTATATCTTTAGGATATCTGTACGATATATTTTACATATTATCATATTTGAGATAAGATATTTCTTGGATATTGTATACGAGGATATTTTCGAAATTTATTCATTATGATATACTGATGATATTATCAGGAGATTGAGATATATTTCGCATATCCGCGATGATTTTAGTATATTCCATAGATATCAATTGCTGTGGGTTTATACAATATTTATAGTAAAAATAAATATTTGTAGTAATATTTTGTAAACATATCTATTTACAAATATCATATATGAAAAAAATAAATGTAATTATTTAAAATTATTAAATTAATAGAAAAATAAAAAATTTGAATCTCAGCAATGGTAAGCAAATTTTCAAAGTACAATTAAAATTCAATTAAGTAGTGTGTGAAACAATAAAATGGAAATTTTAAGAAAAATTCAGGAAAAAAGAAAAATGTATATAAATATATATATTTTAATAAATATTTTTATAATATTTATGAGATAAATATTTTTCATCTATTGAATCTAAGATCACAAAAATATTTTGTAAATATATTTGTAAATATATTTATGAAACATTTTGGTAAATATTTATAAAATATTCAAATAAATCTTATAAATATTTTGTAAATATTTTATAAATATTTTCCTATACAGCAAGAATATCCCAAATACATCATAGAGATATCTTGAAGATATCACATATCCCAAATATATCTTTAGGATATCCTTATGATATTGTTACACTTGCGAGCGCGGGGGAAAAAACTACAACAGTTTTTAAAAAAAGAAGTAGCCTTTATTCTTTGAG